TTTTTTACCTTAATGCATTACTTGCCATGGCACCCGACAAGGGAGTCAATGAACACAGCAGCGGGGCTCGGGTGTGAGCATGCACAAGTGCTCCCATGGGGGAATCAGACAGAAAGGAGGAGCCAGGTGTGCTGGTGGGGGACCTGTGAAAGGAGGTTCGGGTGCTCTGTGCAATTCCATTGCACACAGCAGGTAAGTATATAGATTTTTCCTTTACAATTAATTTAAATATTCCCTCGCCAGACATCAGGAACACAGATCTGATATGAAGAAGCAAAGCACTGCCTTTACCAAGATGGAAGCCTGCACCCAGGTACACCATTGGGGGGCTTTGGCACAGAGAAAGGAGATTAAGGACACAGCCCTCAATCTCCACCTTTGCAGCCTCAGCAGCACAGACTGAATGGACAGGAATAGCTCTGTACAGAGCTTCCTGTTCATTCACAAACTATACTAAACACAGTTTATTATGCCTCAGTTATGAATGGACAAAGTCAGTAATTGGTACCGATCACTGACTGTCCATTCACAAAAGGAAGGGGCTGTTAAATTACATATTTACCGGCCCCTTCCCTGCAGGGAGAGAGGGGAGGGGGGAACTGGCTGGAGTGTGGGGGAGAAGGAGGGCTGGGAGAGAGAATGGGGAACCAGGAGAGAGGGCAGGGGCCCAGAGGCAGCAGAAAAAAGATGGATTGGAGGGGCGGCAGGGCAGCATTTAGAGGAAACGATGCGTCCATTCCTCTCCTGCAGCCACTGAATGCTTGCAGAAGGGAGAGGATGAGAAGCAGGCATTCAGCGGCGGTAGGTTGGAAATAGATAGATGGGTATGCCACCCTGCCACCACTCCTAGCCAGCCAGCTCTTATTAGGACATGAGGTCTGACCACTTTTCTTCTGCATTTTCTTCTGCATATGGAAAGAAATCTAGAGCAATGCCTGCCTTCTGTGTGCTGTAGACACCATACAAATAATCATTTTACCTAGACTTCTTAGCCTTCTCCACATGGGGAAGTTGCACACTTGTTGAAAAATAGTTTGTAATTTCCCTTCAAGACAGGAAGTAAAGGGAAATCTCCCCCAATGGGAAAGTAAAATAATAAAAATCTGATGGAGGTTGTAACCCTTCCTGGCTCTATCCACATAAAAAAAAATATATATTTATATATATATATATATATATATATATATATATATATATTACAATTCTGATAGAGGTTGTAACCCTTCCCCCTCTCTATCCCTAGCAACCCAAAAGCAGTTTTGACCAGAGCTGGGCTTTTACTGGTGTTCCTTCAAATACATGGAAGCAGGGATGTCAGAAGTAGAGATTTGAGATTTGGGGCACTTTGCATGTTATATGCATGAGTCACTTCTAACCAGTTTTCCAACACCAAGAGGTTAAAAGGTGGCAGGGGAGGGAACGCCACCACACAGCCTACTGTATGATTGACAGCATCAGCTCTGTACCTGTATGTTGTGTGAAGGGGGGGGTGTCTCTTCCCTCAAGTCAGGATTACGAGCACCTTCACTGAGGACTGTGTAAGAGTAAGAGTGTAACTTCATATCCCCATGTAGCACTACCCTCGTAGCAGTTGCTGAGTTTTGGGTCCCCCTATAGTCCTGCACAGCCAGGCAATATGCATTTCCTTCAACTTCCATCCAGGAGAGAGTAACCAGTCCTTGAGCTTTGTTTTGAAGTTTTATTAGGGGAATTTAACTTGGATGGGGTAAGGTGTTGTACGGGATGTCCAATAGAACTGTGAAACTGAGGACAACGTCCTGGAACTATATACAGGTTTTTACAGCAAAATCCTCTTCTCAGAGAGCTAGCCAGCATCTCCTGTAGTACCACCCCAGATGAATCCTCCTCTCATCCAGCTATCTGAGGGAAATCCCTGAGCAGGGGATCCAGTGCCTGCCCTGTTAAAGTAAGACAGTTACAGGTAATTGCTAATCTTCTTTCCCACCAGAGTGCTCCCTCCCCTATCTGGCCCAGGAGGTGCAGGTCTACTCAATTAGTTCTTCACCTGTGTTGTTGGTGGGTTGGTGACTGCTACCAGGCCTTCTAGCTGGGCCGCTCCCTCCCTGCCACACAGGCGGTCTTCTCTCAGGGGGCCAGTGAAGTTCAAAGCTTTACTCCTTCCAAGGTCCCTGCCTGGAGGTGAGCCTCTCTCCAATCTGGGCCTCCTCCCAGGCTCCTGGTCTCCAGCCTCACTTCCTTTCCATCTTCCACCCGAACTCTCTGGCTGCTGAGCAGGCTCAGTTACTCTTGAAGGTTGTCCTGGCCCCTTGCCAAGCCTCCTGTTGGGGATTGGCCAGGATCCTCCAAGAGTACAGACCAGCCACTCCTCACATCTGCCCACTGCTTCTAGATCTTTCTCCAAAGTCCTAGAGCAGGGGGAAATTACAGAGAACTGGTCTGCAGAGCCCTTCAGCTCTGACCTAAATTTGACCTTGCTAGCTATCACACCTAGGCTGCTACTCAGGCTCTAACTATCAACTGGAACTAGAGCTCCCCCTAGCTAACTAGGAGGGTGCTACACCCGCTCCCTGATTTTCAGAGCTGAGAGATCCAGAACAGAATACTGCAGATAAACAGATACAACTTATGTAGGAGGATTTGTTTAATCTTTGTGAATCACCTAAGGCCAGTCACTTCATTAAGTATGTGTAAGAGTTTAAAATCACTTTAAGCTTTGGGCAAGAAATGTTTGGTCTTCAAGAGACATCAAAATATTCATATCGCTTGCTATTAAAAGTAGCTATAGGTGAAAGTACAAGAGCGTGTCTCTTGAAAAATGTGAATCATGGGATACATTCAACAATCAAAAAGATTAGCTTTTTTTCTAGAGGCTGCTGATGGTGACACTACATGTTAATTAGTGCCAAAGAAAAGCATGAGCTACATCTGAATGTCAGAATGGCCTGTAAAAGCCCTTTATGTGCACAGTTCTTTGTTCTGATTCTTAGCAGCACAATAGCCGCCCAATTCACAGGCAAGTGCTATTCATTCTTGAGATAAACTCTTGTGTGTTGAGATGTCCGCATAGCATTGTGGAGTCTACTCATGCTTATCTGAAACACTACAGAATATCTGTGTATTGCATTACGATATAACCACACCGTTATGGGTTTTGTGAGAAGGGTCTAAAGAAATCAAAAAGCCTTCCAAATGGGTCAGGGCATAGCACAGTAAAGCCATGTTAGAACAGAACAGTCTCATTTCATCACATCTCCCAAAAATCTGAGCATTATTCCCCATTTCATGATCGTGGGTGGAGCCATGCAAATCAATCCTTATATCCCACCAGATGTACATCCAGAATTGATGAAATATAGTGCAAATGTAGGCATCAATGCAGTGTATGGAAACCATGGCAGGTGTTGGACTTGGGACCCAACAAGACAGTACGACCATACAGGGTATGATGAGCAGGAACTTAAATAAAAGAGATTGTGGAGTCTGAATAGCCTCATACCTCCACTGCCCCACACTGGAACAAACAAGGAATTTCTATATATGTTACTGACCGTAAATGCAACTAAATAAAATGCTAAAAAATAGGATAATGATTTAACAGTCATAGCTAGCACCAGGCACCTAGGGCATGTGCCCTGCATCTAGTAATTGTGCTCCAGGTCCTGACACCATGACCAGGCACTATGGTCATTCAAAACTGTATAAATCGACATCTATCTTCTGCTGTGTGTCAGTGCAATGCAATTCAGGGAAGCTTCCCTTGGACTCCTCCTCGGCTCTGAGATGTCACACAAGTTAAGAGGGAGTCTGGGAGGAATCCCCATGCTTGAAGCACTGTATCTGAGGTCTGATGCCTCAAGGTTTGAGAAAGGGTTGTAACCTGAAACACATTGCTCAGCAACCCCAAAACTATCCTAAGCCCTGCGCACACTATTCCCATCCCATGGGTAAGCCGATCTAGCTCTGCTCCTGGAAGGCTCTTACTACATGCTCCTAGAGTGCAGAGAAAAGAGACAGGACTGACACAGTCTCCAACAAACTACTACAGCACTGTGGTGCCTCCAGCAGTTCTTTGAACAATGCAAATGTATCTATGTTTATAGCCTATGATGTTTCACTTTAAAGTGTTGATGCTTATGCTTCCACCCTGTGGTCATTGTATTGCCTGCACTTATTCTGTAATCCTTCCCTTTTGTATGATGTAGCCCTCCTTCCTCATTGTGAGTTCCTGTATTGTTCCAGCAAGGTGGACATTGAGGCTCAGAAACATACAATATATTACCAAAAGTGTTGGGACGCCTGCCTTTACACGCATATGAACTTTATTGGCATTCCAGTCTTAGGGTTCAATATTGAGTTGGCCCACCCCTTGCAGCTATAACAGCTTCAACTTTTCTGGGAAGGCTGTCCACAAGGTTGGAGTGTGTCTATGGGAATGTTTGACCATTCTTCCAGAAGCGCATTTGTGAGGTCAGGAACTGATGTCGGAGGAGAAGGCCTGGTTTTAATCAATCCCAAAGGTGTTCTATCGGGTTGAGGTCAGGACTCTGTGCAGGCCAGTCAAGTTCCTCCACCCCAAACTCACTCATCCATGTCTTTATGGACCTTGCTTTGTGCACTGGTGTGCAGTCATGTTGGAAAAGGAAGGGGCAAACCTCACTGTTCCTACAAAGTTGGGGGCATGAAATTGTCAAATCTCTTGGCATGCTGACGCCTTAAGAGATCCCTTCACTGGAACTAAAGGTCCAAACACAACCCCTGAAAAACAAACCCACACCATAATCCCCCCTCACCAAACTTTACACTTGGCACAATGCAGTCAGATAAGTATCGTTCTCCTGGCAACCAAACCCAGACACATCCATTGGATTGCCAGACAAGCGTGATTCATCCCCAGAGAACACGTCTCCACTGCTCTAGGGTCCAGCGGTGGTGTGCTTTACACCACTGTATTCGACGCTTTGCATTGCACTTGATGATGTAAGGCTTGGATACAGCTGCTCGGCCATGGAAACCCATTCCATGAAGCTCTGTACGCACTGTTGTTCTGTTAATCTGAGAGCCACACGAAGTTTGGAGGCCTTTAGCTATTGACTCTGCAGACAGTTGGCGACGTCTGTGTACTGTGCGCTTCAGCATGTGCTGACCCTGCTCTGTCATTTTATGTGGCCTCCCACGTGGCGTCTGACTTGCTGTTGTTCCCAGTTTTTTCCACTTTGTTATAATACCACTAACAGTTGACTGCAAAATATTTAGTAGCAAGGAAATTTCACTGATGGACTTATTACACAGGTGGCAACCTATCACGGTACTACGATAGAACTCACTGAGTTCCTGAGAGCGACCCGTTCGTTTACAAATGTTTGTAGAAGCAGTCTGCATGCCTAGGTGCTTGATTTCATACACCTGTGGCCATGGAGGTGATTGGAACACCTGAATCCAATTATTTGGAGGGGTGTCCCAATACTTTTGGCAACATAGTGTATATTCCTTTTGACCTTCAATCACTGAAAATGCCAGAATCTACAGCATTATATTGCTTGTTTCAATTCTTCTGCATGCAATAAAGATATTAGTGGATTCCAAGAGTTTTGTTGAGTTAAAGTGTTACTAAACCCACAACAGTAAAATCAGTCTGTATATGCAGTAAAGCATTCTTGTTATACTCACTGTGGAACCTAAAGGGTTAATCCTCTGCATTGTGTAAAAAGGCTGTTTGATCCTGACGTCTCTTCCCCTCTTCTTGTTCAAATGTCCACGCTGATAAGACAGACTTAACCCGTAGCCACCTGTACATGCTCAGTTTAGTGTGTTTTGCTAGAGAGCAGGGGCGGACTGACCATTTGGAAACTCGGGGCACTGCCCGAGGGCCCGGGGTCAGTAGGGGGCCCCATGAGATGCCCCTGGTACCTTTTCATAGGCTTTTTTGAGTTTGGGCAAGGACACAGGGGCCCCATGATCCCCTATTGCCCGGGGGCCCCATGAGTTGTCAGTCCGCCCCTGCTAGAGAGGTTTTTTTTTTTTTAGAGAGTGCATGTGATCAGCACATGGTCAATCAGCACTGTTCAGACAGAGGGTCAGGGGTTTTGCATTCTCCTAGATCAGAAAGAAAAACTCCTCCTACAAGCTTTAACCAGTGCTCTGCTGAAGTCACAAGACTGCTCTAACTAGTGATGAGAAAAGGTATTTAGCTGTTTATATTTACTAAAATAATTGCTTGTCCATGCTTTGTGTACTGTGGGAGACCAGATATAGTGACTGCAGGGTCCTGGGTTTAAAACTTTAAGCTATCTGATGAAGATTGACTACAAGAATTGTCTCTGCTACATTTGGAAGCGATAAGTCAGTATTACAACAATTGAAGTCAGAATAAGTACAGTCACTCAGCACAAAAAAGAGAGACAGTCCATGGCTAGCTGTGAATATATAACATGGGCAGTGACAGACGCATCCTACACTGCCTACGTGTGAGTGGATTTTATTTAATATATGGGAATTTTTAATACACTTTTGTAGTTACACGTTTCCTAACTACAGCAACTCAGGAGTAGCTTCTCATAGCAACCAAGTGATATATATCCCATTGAGTCTATTCCTGGATGTGGAACCTGAAAGATGATGTTTCAGACTAAAATGTGTGTACTTCTTGTTCAATGTATTTTTATTAAATTTTTCAAATGTTTTTAAAGTTTTCCTGCACACCCCCCCACCAACTGTTCCCATAGCAAACTGCTTACTATGGGGGCACTCGTTGGTGCTCGCTCCTAAGCTGGCTCTGTGTGTCCATAGACACACAGAGCATGGCTCAGCCTCGCCCACCACTCCCTCCTCACTGGCTGTGATTGATAGCAGTGGGAGCCAAAGGTTCCTGCTGCTGTGTCTGAGCCAATGAGAAGAGACTGCCTATACAGTCTCTCTACATCTTCCCTTCTTTCCTCTAGACTGTACATAAAAACCATTTGCTGACGGTGCTATAGCCATAAGACATCTATAGCACGGTTGCCTAGTTTTGGGAGGGTATCTTTAAACACCCTCTTATTACCACGCCCCGCCCCCCGTGCATCCAACACGTTCTGTGATCCCTGTGTCCTTCACACACAGCTGATCACAGATTGCAGTAAAGGGCCAATCACAGTAGTCCTTTACCATGGGATCAGGTGTGTCCAATCTTGCCATTTATAGGCATTCCTTTCCTCACATTCTGACACAGCATGAGGAGAGGAGAGCCGGTAACCAGCAATCCTGATGGGACATTTACACTGATAATCAGGGCACTGATCATCCGTGTCCTGATAATCAGATTAGCCCCATCAGTGCCACCAATCTGTGCCTCCTCATCAGTGCCACCTGTCAGTGCCTCTTCATCAGTGTCGCCTATCAGTTTCCATCAGTGCCGCTTATCAGTGCAGCCTATCAGTGTCCATCAGTGCATCCTGATCAGCACATATTAGTGAAGGAAAAAAATTACTTATTTGCAAAATTTTATAACAGAAACTAAGAAAAACCTTTTTTTTTCAAAACTTTCGGTTTTTCACTTGTTTAGCAGACAATAAAAAAAACAGCAATGATTACATACCACCAGAAAAAAAGCCCTGTCTCAAAAAAATTATAAAAAAGTGATTTGGGTACAGTATTGCCCAACCAAGCAATTGTCATTCAAAAGTGTGACAGCGCTGAAAGTTGAAATTGGCCTAGGCAAGAAGGGGGTGAAAGTGTCCAGTATTGAAGTGGTTCATATCAAAAGAGACTTAATATGTACAGTCTGGGGGAAAGAAGGCAAAGGGGAGACAAGACTGTAACCTTTAAAGTGGTTGTAAAGACTGAAGGTTTTTTACCTTCATGCATTCTACGCATGAAGGTAAAAAAACCTTCTGTGTGTGGCAGTGCCCCCAGCCCCCACAATTCTTATCTGAGCCTCATCGCGATCCAGCGATGTGAATAACAGGCTTGGCTGTCCTGGGTCTCTGCTTCCTCATTGACTGAGACAGCAAGCAGGAGCCATTGGCTCCCGCTGCTGTCAGTCACAGCCAGTCAGACAGGAGAAAGAGGGGGCAGGGCCAAGCTGCGGCTCCATGTGTGAATGGACACACGGAGCAGCGGGTGCCCCCATAACAAGCTGCTTGCTGTGGGGGCACCAGACAGACAGGAGGAGCCAGGAGAGCGTGCAGGGGACCTGAGAAGAGGAGGATCCAAGCTGCTTGTGCAAAACCACTGCACACAGCAGGTAAGTATAGACATGTTTGTTATTTTGCAAAAAGAAAAAAACGGAACCTTTAGTATCGCTTTAAGTACCGGTACATCAAGGAGGTGAGTAAGGTTCAAGAATCTTAGTTCTAAGATCAAGAACACAGGGACATGACCTCAAACTAACTTGAGGAAAGTCCAAATCTAATCTTAGAAAGTATTATTTTACTGAAAGAGTAGTTGATGCTTGGAAACTTCCAACAGAGGTGGGGAGTCAGTCAACAGTAAGTGGCTTCAAACATGCTTGGGACAAGAATAGATCTATACTTAAAAAAGTTAACAGAAACCCATGCAAAAAATACAAAAACATGTATAAAACGTGTAAAAATGGGCAGATTCGATGGACCACATGGTCTTTTTCTGCCATCACTTTTCTATGTTTCTCTGTTTTTATTTTTTTAGATCAACTTTAGATTAACCAAAACTATCCAATCAGTCTGTATTTAGTCAGATAGGCCCATGCACTACATACTAGTTGGTAAATCTAATGGCGGCCATACACACTTCGATTTTATTATTTGATTGATGTGTGATTTGATAAAAGTGATCGAATCTGCAAACTATTGAACAGCTATAACTTCCCTTCCAATTGGTTTAGACTCGATTTAGATTGGATTTGGTCAAACTGAGCTGATCTGCCAGGGTGAAAAGTTATTGATCATTTTCCATCCATCAGCACCTAGATACTTTGTTCATGAATACAATCGTATTTAAGTTAATTAGATTACGAATTTACATGGTGGAAACAGAGATCTTACTTACTGATTGAAATTCACTTCCCCGTATGTGGCATGTTGACTGTCGGTCGATTATTCCTTTTGCAAGTGATGTATTGGAAAAAAAAAATACATGATTTATTAAACTGTGCATGGCCACCATAAAGGAGATCGTACAATCAGATTGTAACATGCATGGTGAGCTTTAGTTCTAGCCCAAACTGGGTTGCAGACTGCATTGGTTCCAGAGGAAGCCTTTGGTATGTAGTGGAAACGTAAGAGACTGAACTATGTCAGTTATTTTCAGTAGAGCTGTTGTGCAATGAGTACATTTGGAAACATATTGTTGGGAAAGAAAGAAAACAGAGAAGGCCTAAGTAAGAAGACTTTGTTGTTGATTGGATTGGGAGAGCAATAGGCCAAAGAAGGCCAAAGACAACAATGAGATGACAGCCTGGAGGTGGATGTGAAGGAGGAATAATGAATTTAATTAGGACATGTGGATCTTCAGTAACATATGAGGATGTTCCCAAATATTTTCAGTATTTACTTATGATATGTAAACAACAACTGCTGAAGGGTGTATTTCATTCTTTTCCAGCCACCTCAAACGGTTGTCCACGGAATATATTGCTAACCTGACTTTCAAGATTCCAGTAAATGGAAAGCCGATTTGCATTTGGAAAGAAAATAAATGCTGAAACATTGCCAAGGAGGGTGATCACTGAAAGCTTGTTATCTAAAAAGCTTGTCTGGGTAAAATAAAAAAAAGCATATGCAGTATGTTTCTGCAGTACATTTCCCTGGGTTTATTTCTTTAAAAACATTGCAGAGTACAGAAAGAAACCTGCTGTTAGTCCATCAAATCTGCATGTAAAATTCATTCTGTGCAAATATGTCAAAGTCAAATGTTCTCAGGCTGTATTTTCTGCAGATCAAATATATGAAACGGGGAAGATACCACATTATGGCCACTAGATGGGGCTGAGTATCATAGGAAATAGGTATGCCCCCATCACCATCTAGTGGCCATAATGTGGTATTTTCCCCCTTCACACAAATGATCTAGAGAGAATTTAGCCGGAGAACATTTGATTATGGCCAAGTCACACAGAATGGATTTAGATGCAGTTTCAATGGACAACAACAATGCAAATTCTTTTATAAATACACCTTTTGGTGTGCTTTGTGTATTTCATCCAGATCTGTGTACTAATACAGGGCCTGAAATTTCTACTCGCCTGCTCGCCAATGGCGAGTGGAAATTATGGTGGGGGCAAGTGTGTCCCCCAGCACCGTCTTGCTGAGAAGGCTCGGAGCTCAGGCCGGATCTGTTATTGGCACTGGGAGCCGTCAGACTGCTCAATAGCTGACTGCAGTGAAAGCAAAGGAAGGAGTGTGTGCTGTGCTCTCTGCCTCCCCCTAGATTGCAGTACCCGGCTCTGTGAGTGAACAATGAAGTACTGCAACTTTTTATGGGGTGCGTGTGTGTGTGTGTATGTACATGTGTGTATCTGTACATGTGTCTGCGTGTATGTACATGTGTGTGTACATGTGCCTGTGTGTGTGTGCATGTACATGTGTGTGTGTGTTTGTGTGTATGTACGTACATGTGTCTGTGTGTACATGTGTCTCTGTATGTATGTACATGTGTCTGTGTATGTATGTACATGTGTCTGTGCGTGTGTATTTCTGTGTATGTACATGTATCTGTGTGTATGCGTGTCTGTACATGCCTGTGTGTGTATACATGTATCTGTATGTGTGTGTATGTGTGTGTACATGTGTCTCTGTGCATGTGTATGTATATGTCTGTGTGTGTGTGTACAGGTGTCTCTGTTTGTGTGTGTTTGTTGGTGGCGAGTGACTCTAAGGCCTGGCTAGTAGCTCTTTTAGTAGTTTTAAGCCCTGTACTAATACATTGTGAAAATACTCCTTTGTGCAGGAATTTCCTGTAATCAAGACTGGTAACTGCTATTCTTTCTCCTGCGGGGTGACTGTTCTTGTATGCCCTACCCTGTAGTTTTCTGCAGGCCGCTTGTAGTGATTGGGGCCTACTGGGTCCCTCCCACAGCTCTGCTTTCTATATAGTCTATGTACAGCCCAGTGATGTCACTGCTACTTTTAAAAGATAATATCTGAAGTTTACAAAGGCAGTTGGCGCACACTAAATACCTTTGTGTCTATTGGCAAACATATTTAGATTAAAGTTTTCGCGCCCAGAGTGCATCTTTAAATGCTAAGCAGTGTTGACATCCTCGCCCAGTTCTTTCTTTAGGACTATATAACACCTCCTCATCTTCATAACATAAGGAGGAGGTGTTCTGTAGTCCAGCAGAGGAAACCTCATGTAAGGATAAAGCCAGTGATGTATTTAAGTTTCATGCTGCCCTAGGCAACGCAAAATCCGGCTCCCCACCCCCACCCAAGGAGAGACCCTGCTAGTGAAAGCTTACAATCTAATAATGATCCAAAAACCTGTAACAAAAAAAAAGACTAAAGCTCCACCTGCTGACTAAAGAATTAAAATACAAAATATTAATATGCAATATTTCATATTTTCTTGTTATTTTTTTTATTCCTGACAATGTATTTTCATTTGACTGTGGTAGAGGTATATATGGCTTTTGCCCAGAGGCTTGCAAAGACCATCATGTTGAGCATATCTTTCCTTTGTTAGCGTGTACACAGGACAGAGATCAGGCTGATAATGATGAAACCTTTTTATAATGGCCAGAATGGGCACTTCACAATTTAATTCATGGGAAATATTGTTTCCAACAACATTGCCTGTTTAATGCCAGGATCTGAAATTGAAGCTCCACACCACTGCTAAAAGATCCAGATACAAATTTTTCCATTAAAGGTCAGGGGTACAGTTCATAAAGTAGCCAAAGCATTTTTTTTTTTTGGGGGGGGGTCTACGTTTCCCCTTCATCAGGGCTAGAAAGAACAAAAGAAGATTTTCATATCAATCGATATTATCGATATTATATTGATACATTATCCCCCCCATGGAGCCATCATTAAAACCAGTCAATAGTAATGGAAGTGCCAAAATATTTTTGAGTGCTGAACAAAAATTTGAATATGAGTGCTGAAAAAAGAAAAAAAAAAAATCAAAACTGGTATGTGTATAAATTGAACCATACGTTGTACAATCTGCTTGTGCATTCATAAAACAAATAAACAAACAAAGAAGTACATAAAAGGTTAATAATAATAATAATAATAATAGAATGATAGTAATACTAGTGAAATTGGAGTTGCTGACATTTTGGGTCCCTCTATAGTCCTGCACAGCCAGGACACAGACTTGCACCCAGGAGACAGTAACTAGTCCTTGAGCTTTGTTTTGATGTTTTATTAGGGGATTGAACTTGAATGGGGTAAGGGGTGTATGGAATGCCCAAGGGGAAACGCAACTGAGGACACACTTCTTAGCAACTCTGTACAAGTATTTACACAGCAGAAGATTCTCTTCTGGAGAGCTAGCCAGCACTCCTGTTGTACCACCCCAGACCCCTAGATGAATCTTCTCCTCATCCAGATGTACTGGGTGGATCCCTGGGCAGGGGATCTAGTGCCTGCCACTACAGTGTGAAACAGTCCCTGCTCTCTAGCCTCTCACTTCCTCTCCATCTTCCACCCGAAATCCCCCTGCTGCTGAGCAGGCTCTGTCACTTTGCAGGCTGTCCTAGCCCCATATGAAGCCTCCTATTAGGAGGCCAGAATAGCCACTCGTTACCTCCAACCACTGCTCTTAGAACTTTCTCCAAAGTTCTAGTGCCGTGGGGAAGTCTCAGAAAACCAGTCTGCAGAGCCCCTCAGTCCTGACTGCAATTTGACCACTCTGACTGTTGCACCAGGCTGCCATTCAGCCTCTGACTAACAATTGAAAGGTTTAGTTCCCCCTAGCTACCTAGGAGGGTGGCACACTAGTATTGCTATCATGATAGTAATACTACTATATTAAAGTGTTACTAAACCCAGAACAGTAAAATCAGTCTGTATATGCAGTAAAGCATGCTTGTTATACTCACTGTGGAACCTAAGGGGTTATTCGTCCAGATTGTGTAAAAAGGCTGTCTTCTCTGATCCTCTCCTTCTTCTACTGTCCCCAATCCATCTGCTTATAGTACAGAGCTCTAGGAGTCAATCTGCACATGCTCAGTTTGGTGTATATTGTTAGAGTTTTTTTCTTCAGGTTTCTTTTTTGTTTTTACTTTGGGAGAGTGCTTGTGATCTGCACAGGGCAAATCAGCACTGTAAAGACAGAGGGTCAGGGGTTATACAGCCTAAAAGAAAAATCAGAGCACAATGAAAACTCCTCCTACAAGCTTTAAACAGTGGTCAGGTGGACACTGATAGAAGTCACAAGACTGCTATATACTGCGGATGAGAAAAGGTATTTAGCAATTTATATTTACTAAAATAATTGCATTTTCATATTCTGTGTACTATGGGAGACCAGATATATGAATGCAGGGTCCTGGGTTTAGTAACACTTTAATAATAGTACTACTATCATGCTATTATTAATATTTTATTTACTTTGTTTTTTTTTTTTAACCCACTTGCGCACCCACCTTCATGACAGGCCATTTTTTGCAATACGGCATTGCATTACTTTAACTGACAATTGCGCGGTCATGCAACGCTGCTCCCAAATAAAATTTATGTCCTTTTTTCCCACAAATAGTGCTTTCTTTCAGTGGTATTTGAAAGCCTGTGCATTTTTAATTGTTTGCTCTATAAACAAAAAAAGACTGACAATTTTGAAAAAAAAACAAACAATATTTTTGACTTTTGCTATTAAACGTCCAGTAAAAATCCAGTTTTAAAAATCAAATTTCCTCATACATTTGGGCCAAAATGTATTCTGTATTTGCTTAAAAAATCCCAATACATGTAAATTAATTGGTTTACATGAAAGTTATAGCTTTTACAAATGGTGGTATATATACTGCATTTTTTTTTTTACTAGTAATGGCGGCGATCTGCCACTTATAGCAGAACTACGGTGGGCTTTCTGACACTGGGGGATCTGACTTGGTGTCACTGACATCCCCAGTGACACCAATACAGTGAATAGTGCTAATAAAAAGCACTGGCACTGTACTAATGACACTGGGCAGGAAAGGGATCAAAGGGTTAACTGTGTGCTGTTTCACAGTGTGCTATGAGAGTGCTTTCCACTGTAAGCAAACTGCTTTGTATGGCTCTGCTATAACTGGACCAGGGCATCACTGAGCTCCTGGACAGTCTGAGGTGCAACCTGGACCGAAACATGATGCCAACAGAGGGCTCTGGGTTGTGATTGTACACAGCCGATCGGCAGGTCCTGGCCGGAACTTGCTGACAGGCTCCTGCTGTGTACAATCACAGTGAGTGCTGGGGGGGATGCCTAAAACCCAGAAGTAGGCAGCGATGTACCCACTCACTTTGCCTTCATTGGCTGCCCGTCCACAGTACATTGCAGGTGGGCAGTCATAAACTGGTTAAACAAAGAATTTTAATTATTTACACCACCTTAAACTGGGCCTACTCCATTAAGGTGACTCATGTCATACCTCTTTCTATTCCATCAAACATTACTTGTACATAACGGCTGTTGTTATTCTTGGTATTGCTGTCAGAACTGACAGGGCTGATAAGTGATACAGAGGTTATATTCATTTCAAGTCTAGTTAATATAACCTCTGTATTGCCTATCAGCCTTGTCCTGAAGAAGCAAATCCAACTGTGAAACACAATGACAAGTGTTGTATAATTACTGTGGTATATGTATGATACTGACACGGTCTAATTATTGCAAGGATTGTGCACATTGTAATATACTGTATATCCATATAGAATGGTTTTATATTGAATTTTAGAATTAATTCTATTATATCCATATAATAAAATTTGTATATTTTTGAACTAATTGAGAGCTCAGAGTTCTCAGGTTTGCATATAAAGCCCCTTTTAGTGTTTTTTGTCTGTCTATATTTTTGGGATGGCATCTACTGAGGTGCCCAGATGAATATAGCCTGTGTCCTCTCCCTCAAATGTACTGTATTAGTATCCACTCAAAGAAATGTTGGAAGAGATTTTAATTACTAACAACTGTAGCTCTACCCCCGAAAAAAGCCACTGTACTTCAAGCCTATTTCCCCATCACAGCACTCACAAACAGGCAAAAGGAATTATCCACACTCTCTCGATGGCTCAAAAAACAGTCTAGCAGTTTTGTCATTTAGTGTTTATTTTTGGAACATAGAACTTGGATGGGAACTGGGGGTACATGGGATGCCCAAACTGTAGAAAACCTGCTAATGTCTCTGGCTGCTATAATGCAAACTGCACTGTGCTGCATGGGAGTAATAGTGCAGCTGAAACAGGGAATAAAAGCCCCTAAAAGTAATGTTGAAGACACAGCACCTGGTTGTATTGCTCAAAATCTGGCTGCTCCAGGCCCAAAGTTAGAGGTGTCTTGCACTGCACGTATGCTACTAACCAGTCCCAGACACGTGTGGTATTGCACTTCACTGTTTTCTCCTTCCTTTGGGTGAATGGCTGGTGTGTACTCACTCTCTTTAAGTAGCTCCCAGAATCCAGTAGGCTAATGTTCTGGCCTTTTGTTGAATATGCTGCCTCTAGCCCGCCTTGAAGTCTACAGCTAGGTCTAGCTGAGACTGTGAGTGATGTTCTGGAGCTCCCTTCCTCTCTCTCTCTTCTCTGTTCTTTTTATTTTGCCCCAGGGTCAAACCTCCAACATAGGGGTTACCTCTAGATGACTGAACCCTGAACTTTGCACCCAAACTGCCAGGCTTCAGAATATTTATTGGCTGTTTCCTCCCTTCTAGGTCCACCTAC